GGTCCCACGGCCCTCTGTGGCCCAAAGTTAAAAACTGTTGTTCTTTTTAGGCCCTCAAGGTGGCGCTCGGCCCTTAGGTTAAGAATCTATGATCTAGAATAAATGCTGTTATAATGTCTGGCTGCCTGTTTTTACAGGGCAGCAGAACTGAGGGCAGAGTGTTTTCAGGAAGCAGCAGCCCACAGTGATGTTGTTGTGGCGAYGCTTTCTGAGGAGCTGGAGACGCTCAGAGACGAGCTGGACAACAGGACAGCATCAGGACAGAGGTGAGGGCTTCAACATATAAACACTTTTTACTGACATGAACATATAAAAGTTCTCTGATACGCTGCCATTTTTATAATCAAGTCAAGTTTTATTTCTAAAGCACCTTTCACACAGAAATTTACAGCAGATAAAAAACAAACTGTTCTCTTCCTTGTCTTACAGGGCTGAGCAACAAAGGAACCAAGCTCTTCAAAATGCAGAGAAACTCAAAGAAGCTTTTAAAGATTATAAAAATACRATTTCTGTTAAGCTCCAAAAGGTCCACTTATTGAACTCTTTCTGTCCTTTCTTTCTTTGTTTGTTGGCTGTTGAAGCTGAAGTGTTTTTATCTGGGCTTTAAGGTGATGGAAAGTGAAAGCAAACTGAAAGAGAGTCTGATCGAGTGTGACAAACAGAAAGAAGAACTGGAAATGAAGTTTTCAGTGTTGGAMAGTGAGAAGGCAGAACAGAGCCGGACTGTCAGGTACTGTCTCCTCTGGTTTATAATGTTTGTTAAAGAATAAACAGAATGGGTCCTAAAACAGAACCCTGGGGTACACCACAAGACAGGCTGGTGGTATCGGACATAATGTTTGTTAAAGGAGCATGTTAAAAGTAAAAGGACTTGCTGGATGTCAGTGAACCAGCAGCATCTCTTCTCACCTGTGTCTCAGCCGGCTGCAGAAGGAGCTRCAGCAGGCCACAGCTGCTGCTGTTGACCTCCAAGCCCAGGTGGAGGACGCTGGACGAAAAGCCTCTCAGCTGGAGCGGCAGCTTGTGGAGCGAAGTGCAGARTCCAGGGAGCTGGAGGAGCTGCGGACTCTGACCCGCAGCCAGGAACAGAGGGCCACCCAGAGCCTCAGAGAGGCTSAGCAGAACCAGGCAGAGCTGGCCAGCCTGGAGGCCATACTGGCTCTGCTGCACCTTCGAGAGGTGAACAGGTTCTCCTCTATAAGGAGCTGTAGTTCACTCTGAATGATTGAGTCTTTTTGGATCAGTAGAACAGCACACTTATTATTATCTAACACAGTTTATTACCTCCCTCCAGGGTCCAGAGGGGCCTCTCTGTACCTGTCCTTGCATGCTGCCCCCAGCAGATTATTCTGGAACTGCACACCTGCTTCAACTGAAACCAGGTAGGCTGACAATTCTGATGCATCAAAACATTATGACCCCATTTAGAGTTTGCTCTACTATCTTGAAGCTGCAGTTTTTACCTAAAGAAATGTGTACGCTCAACTGTTGGCTGATCAAACTAATTAAACAGCCAGTATTGGGAATATGAAAGGCTGAAAACACAGCCTTTTTAGCAGCCTATCCATGCTAGTCGCTAGCCTCTAGTGCTAACACCAGTCTATCAATGCTAGTTGCTAGCCTCTCTAATGCTAACACCAGCCTATAAATGCTAGTCGCTAGCCTCTCTAATGCTAACACCAGCCTATCAATACTAGTCACTAGCCTCTCTAATGCTAACACCAGCCTATCAATACTAGTCACTAGCCTCTCTAATGCTAACATCAGCCTATAAATGCTAGTTGCTAGCCTCTCTAATGTTAACATAAGCCTATAAATGCTAGTCACTAGCCTCTCTACTGCTAACACCAGCCTGTAAATGCTAGTCGCTAGCCTCTCTAATGTTAACACAAGCCTATAAATGCTAGTCACTAGCCTCTCTAATGTTAACACAAGCCTATAAATGCTAGTCACTAGCCTCTCTAATGTTAACACAAGCCTATAAATGCTAGTCGCTAGCGTCTCTACTGCTAACACCAGCCTATCCATGCTAGTCACTAGCCTCTCTAATGCTAAGCAAATGAATAGTCTTCTTTTCATTTGTCAGTGCCTGCTGCTCATTGAGCCGTGCCGGGCTGTCATTAATCAGATGAATAGCTGGCTTAGGAATAGAATTGGTCTCCTGCTACTAGGATGTAGCAACTGCTGGTTGTACAATAGTCTTAATTTTGGCCCTCACACAGTGCCATACTTTAAAGGCAGCAGTTTCCAACCTTTACATTGAAAATAAATATTTTTGCCACCTCTCCACCCAACAAATATTTAWAGCCAAAGAACCTACTTGGACATTAAAACACAGACAACAACTTATACAGAAAACTGTCTGTCTGAATTCACAAAAAAAAAAGCTTTTAAAAAGGACATAAAAATGAGCCTGGATAGGACTTAATATGTCTTAAACAAATTAAATTTACTCAAAGTACTGAAGATACCAAGTTGTTTTTAATAYTTTGAAATGATATATTTTGTAAAACGATTTGTCATTTTATTCAWTGCCTTACTTGAAGTCTCAGAATCTGTGGGTTGAAGATACACTTGCAGCTGCAAACCTTCTCTCCTGTATCAAAAATCCTAATATTTCTCTACTTTTCCTGTCGGTCTGTGGACGTGTGCAGGTGAGGGCTACCAGCAGCTGCTGAGGCTGTTGCAGTGGAAGGAGGCTGAGAGGATGAAACAGAGCTGCCTGAAGGAGCGGCTTCAGGAGCGTCTGAGCAGAGCGCAGGAGGAGATCTGCTCCCTGCAGAACTCCATGTCCCAAAGAGCCCTGCACTACCAGAACCTCCACACGGAGCTGCTGAACAAAGACACAGACACAGAGAAGGAGGTGATGCTTCTTCTTCTTCTCCTCTCACCTGGTTTTTTTTATTTAACGTAGAAAGGTCAACAGGTTGGGCTTATGGTTTTTATTTTAATTTTATGTCAGCTAAAGAGAAAAAGTGCGCGAGTAGCTGCTCTGGAGAAGCAGCTGCAGGAGAAAACCTCAGCGTACAGTCTGGCTGCACTGAAGAACACTGAGCTGGAGAGTCAGCTGCAGGTACACAACACAAGCTGAGTGGCACCAAATGTTTTCCAGTCAGGATCATCGCTTGTTTTCTCTGATCACAGGAGAAGACCAGTGCCCTCCAGCACCACCAGTCTCTGATGACCAGAAAACAAAGAGAGTACCAGCAGGCTCTGGAAAAGTGTAAACAGTCTCATTCCAACCAGCTGACAGAACAACAACACAGAGTAGAACTAGTGAGCTACAGTTTTGTGTCTTTTGCACTTTTTGCTTCATTACCTCATATTTTCATTCTTAACCYGTTTAATCCCACCGGCAACAAWTGTTGCCAGACATTTAGTTTTACTTCTGGAAGCTCTAAAACTGTTATTTTGCCTTTGGGCAGCTATTTTAAGTTTTACAGCAGTATATTAGGCTGTCTACTCTTAGTTTTATCAATTTCATGTAGTTAGTGTGAACGGTCACATGACCACACCCCTTGACTTCCTGCCTGCCCTGCTGGAGGGAAAAGCCTACCTCAAACTGGTACAAAATGGAGTGAATAAAATATCTTAATGAACACATATAATTAAATATTTTGTACATACATTCTTCCTTCTGATGAGATATATGGAGAGTTTTATGCTTGCATGCATCTTTTGACTGTCAGGAGAGTGAATGTAAGCACGACAACAATTGTTGCAGCTAGTTTAACACATAGACAGAGCTATGCTAGCTGTTAAAGGTTTGACTGTTTATTTTATTCATCTTATAGGTTTTTTTTTCCATTCAGCTTAAAACCATCAGATGTTTTAGATCTTTTAGACCTGAAAGAACCTCAAAATGATGTTTGTTACATCAGGGGGTCCCAAACTTGTCCATGCTATAGCCCCCCAAACAGCACAAGCGTTTGGCTGGGGACCTCATGCAAACCTACAAACAATTCGACAAAATACGTAAAATGTTAAAATGTTGTTTAAATCACTTTTTGTAAGTATTATATTTGTTTAACATTAATATTTTATTAACTAAAATG